ATATTTTATTATATGATATGATTAATATCATGTTTTTAAATGTTGTTTCGTTCTAAACATGGTGATTATCTCTAATATGGACACCCAACATAATATATGATATTTACCATCTGAATCTAACCATGTCATGTCAACAAATGGAAAAGTCAGCCATCTATTAATTATCATGTTATTTACTGTGCTTTTAGCCCCGACAGCAGGGGCGCTTTTTACCCCAAATACCATACTTTTACATATTCTTTTGTTATTTAAAAACTGTTGCTTTAATTATCTTAAACAAAACTGAAAATCATAAAGAAGACCTTCGTCTCAAAATATATGCATTAGTTTTAGCGATTCTCATTTGCTACTTAAATCTACAACATTTTAAAAAACATAAAATATTAGATCAAGTAAGCACAGAATCAGCTCGCGATCGCGTCAAAGATCAGACAAATATACACGTGCATCTTGAAAAACGGTTGTTTTGGCCATTTACAAACATAAATTGGATATTTTCGATCCACACATGCACCCTCACAAAACTGCGCAATGGATTTACTTCAAAAAGAAAGAAAGAGAGAAAGCTAGAGACCAATCGTTATACAATCCCTTTGCTTTACTGGCATCATGCTGATTCATGGAACTAACTGATTGTAGATTCATGAGGTCACATCTCTGATGCGCATCTTTCTGGGCTGTCCGATGTAATATTAATCTCTAACCCCTGAGCAAAGAAATGTCTACTTATTCATTCAATCGCTCACTCATGCGTATTCATCTATTTATTCACCTGTAGACACGACACTGCTGACTCGGCAAATACAGATTGAATGCACACTGGAAAGTTGACAGATTAGCGTTGTTTAATCTACAAGAAATAGACGCTGAAATGCGACACCTTCTGCTACGACTGTCTTGTTATTTTGGAATGGCATGAAAATATAACTTTCGAGGACTGCACCGACTAACGACTAAAACAAAGCCCTGGCTGAAGCGATGCCAAGAACTGATGCGAGTATTTTTCATCGTAACTGCTGTGGCAGGCTGTCTGTGACAGTGTTGATGAATCTTCGTAGCTGGAAATACTTCCGTTCAAGCGTTTTTCTGCAATGGACATACATAAATGGACCGTTAGCCTGATGCTGAGGGAAGTTTTCATTCGGTTTTACCTGCAACACGCAGCAGTCTGGCCAGGCTGAGGAGGAGAGTGGACTGTCTGTAGGCAGTAGGGCACTGAGAGATGCACTCCTTTATCAATGATAGACGATCCGTCCGCAGACGCACTGCAGAGACAAAGAGGAAATGAGAGAAAAGAACAAAACAAAGACTAAAAGTTAAGATCTAGCAGAAATGCAGTATAAACAGACTAGAATAGCCAAAATGTGAAGCAACAATCTGGTAAACTGCATAATTTGTCACATGAATATATATTTACACAAAAACACACTGACAGTTGGAGACTTTATTTTTCACATGGCCATATATTTAGACAGAGCCCAAAACCTGGCTGTGACAGATATACTTTTTTCATGTCAATGTAAAGCATATATATTTGTTTTTTTACTCTATTTTATTAATTGCATTAAAGACTTTTAATCTGTTTAACAACAAGGGCTGTTTTGTCAAAATTATGGGGAATTTGTACTATTTTGTGGCATTTCAAAGCAAATACATAAATATTGAGATATATACAGTACAATACAGTTGTAAAAACTGTAAAAATCTGCAGTCAGTATGAAAATACAGTAAAAACAGATACTCTTGAAAAAGTGATATGCTGTTTTGCAGATCTATCTATCTACTTTGTCTTTTTCTCATTTATCTTCATATTTTTATTTAAAATGTAAATCCTTAACATGGGGCAAGTTGTGTTACTGGACCTTAGTTTTTTTTTTCCTTCTTTTTTTTGAGAAATAAAATACTTTTATTTGATTTCAGCACACAACAAAGATAAAAAATGGCATAGTTTACACCACCTTCCACATATTGCAATACCATTCATTTTACCTGACCTTTCATTATATATATAGTCACATTTAAGAACATGTCTCTAAAATGGTTTTCAAAACTGTCCTGGAGCAGCCCAGCACTCTCTCACTCATCTAACACACCCGATTTAACTCGTCAGCTCATTAATAGAGACTTTAAGACCTGAAGTGGGTCAGAAAAGGTAAAACGAGTTGAGAGAAAATATGTGTGTCAGATCTGCGTCATGT